AGAGCTTGAGGAATCAATAATTATATGATAAAAGGTATCCATCTCTTCCCAGAAAAATGTGCTTGCAAAATTGAGACGAGTCTTTACTTGCCTACTTTTACATGTCATTATGCCCCCTTATATGTTGGCCTTACGCTATACTTGGTGATACCTGGGCCAGTCTTTGCTACTATGTGAAGACAGTCAATCAACACACAAAAAAGCACAATTCAGAAACAAAGAAAGCTTTCTAGTTATGCTAGCCAAAAAATTACTTTTTTCCTTATTTGGATTTCTGTGGCTTATAGTTTAAAGCAAACTAATTTGGAAATTGGTGCCAGGTAAAAAGAGTGATACTAGTGACAGAACCTAAAACGTAAAACTTGTTTAGTAAAGGAAGGGTGCAGGTAGTGATAGTGCCCTCATCCCCTAACAGGAAGTTGGCACTCTTCATTGAACAGTTAAACTATAGCCTATTGTCTTAGAACTGACCACTTAACTAATGAGGCCAATGCTTTAGAGAACTTACTGTGAAAATGTCAGGGTGATGAAAGGGGTTGGATACATCTTGCTGCCTTCAGTAAGTTCTACAAGGAAGAAACAAGCTGGCAAGCCTGAAAGTGGAAAGGATACAGATGCAACTAGCAATGAGGCGCTCTTCTGAATGATACCAGCAAACCAAAAGGTCTGAGAATCGGATACTCATGCTTTCTGAGAGATTACAGATTTCTATGAGTCAAGGAATAAAAGAGGAAAAGTAGGAAATGAGACTGGGTCCTGCAAAGAGGAAGCTGGATCACCTATGACCATGTCCAACATTTACGAATGATGGATGAGTTCTTTGTGCCTACATTCGTTTAATTTTAAACCTTATCCTTTTCATAAAAGATATCTCTATTTGAATTCTGTTCATATCTTTTCTTTCAAGTGTTACCCTTTATATAACTGGATTACATTCTCTACTTTTTAAAACTTTGACACAAAATATGGAGAAATATAAAAAAAGCTTGTAACACATACTTAATTTACAAAATAAGCTAGAAAAACAAAGAAATAGAGAAGTATGAAATTTAAGAGAGTTACTCTGTCCACTTGTCTCACAATGCCCTTTGTTCCTCATTCAGAACAAATTAAGGCTGTCCTGGTCTTATTTAGATGTAGAAAGTTACGGTTTCTACATAACTTTACTGTGTTAAAGCATTCCCTCCCTCTATCTCTGGCCAAATCAGGTACCTTCCATGATAGAAGCAGACCTGCTCCTTCTCTCCCAAGTTAAACTTAAAATACGTATTTCCAGTGGGCATTGTTTTAAACTGTAGTTATGTATTACTGAAATAATATTTTGATGAAGTAATATTTTGATAAACTTAAGGTATGGAAAAACTGACTTTTGAAAGTTAGCCTGAAAATCTGGCCGTTAACTATATCTACTCTATAAAACCAAATTCAAAAAGAAAAAAAAACCTATATATAAAACTATAAATAAGATCCTTTTGGAACAGAACCCTATCACAAACTGAGCAACTGAATATTCCCAATTTGACCTCAAATCACTACATATCATATAGAACACGTTAGTGATTACTCTCATAAAATGATGTAATCTAACATCATTTTTTTCAGAATGTTGATAATAATGTCAACTAGAATTATATTTGATTCTAATTAAAAGGTACAACAAATACAGTTAATGATAAGAGAAAATCTCTAGGAAAAGTGCATGTGATGATCAATTACAGGCATACTTCATTTTATTGCACTTCACTTCACTGCACTTTGCCAATACTGCATTTTTTTACAAATTGAAGGTTTGTGGCAACTCTGAATTGTTAGATGATGGTTAGCATTTCTGAGCAATAAACTAATTTTTAGTTAAGGTATAGTATGTACTTTTTTAGATATAATGCTATTGCACACTTAATAGACTACAGTATAGTGTAAACATAACTTTTATATGCACTGGGAAATCAAAAACATTTGTGTGACTCGCTTCATTGAGATATTTGCTTTATCGTGATGGTCTGGAACCGAACTCGCATTATCTCCAAGGTATGCCTGGACCTCTGATGGAAGTTTTTAAAAATCAGAATAAAGAAATGACAGTGCCTTTTGTTCTTTTAGAGAAAATTATATAATGCCACGTGAAAGTAAATGCTTTACTTACCTGTATTAATTTTGTCAGAAACACATTCTTAGAGGATTTTTCTTTTTTTCAACATGCCTAACACTTTGCATAGAATCCAATATGATATAACAAGTCCATCCAGGCCTAGGCTTATTCGGCTAAAACATGACTTCTAGGGGTACCCAAACGAAACAAAACCCTCAAGACAGCTTAAATGATACAAAACATAGAAGCAAGAGAGGTTTGATCGTTCAACGGATTTAGAAGCAAACATTTTAAAACCCCAAATATATACTTCACTAAATGATTACATCTTTATAATCAATTTAGGACTGTAGCCAACCCAAACAATGACACTGATGATATAAACATAAATAAATAAAATTATAAGACAATAATTATTTTAGGGCAAAAGCTACAAAATCCAACTATTTCCCTGAATTTTTTGAATGAGGTATTTTATTAAATTTTGTACTCCTGACACTTATCACAGACCATGTACAAATAAATACTACATAAAACACTGCATTTATAGTTATTTTCTGTATACTATAGTACACATACAGTATAGTATGGGATAGAGTAACTTCTCACAACACATAAAATTATAGCCTCACTTCCATCTCAATCCCATTTTCCACCTTGCCAATGGACATTTTTTTTTCTGAAAGCACCAAACTTCATTATTTTCATGTAAAGAACCCTTTAATGGCTTTGCAATGTCATCTGAATAAAATAAAAACTCCTTAGAACAAAATCCTCTGGACCTGGCTCCAGCCTACCACTTCTACATCTGACCTTCATCTCCATCTCTCCCATAATCTCCCAGGCACAGGAACTGGTGCTCTCATGCCTCCAAGCCTGGACACGCAGAGTTCCCTCCATCTGGACTGCCCTTCCCCCAATACTCCTCCTTGTCTAAATGCCACCTACTCTAAGAACCCTCTGCCCACCTCCCATCTTGGTCAGCTGGGCTCCCCACACTTCTAGGTTAGAATAAAAATTTGCTTCTCTGAGAATAGTGGTCATCAGGTATGACAGAAAACTCTAATGTAAGTTGGTGGGGGTAATTTCTGGTGTCAGGATGATTAAAGGAACATGTTAATTTAGATAAAATTTAAGAGACTACACAAATATTAGAAATACCTAATTTTTTGAATTTGGGGATTTATGAAAGTCACAGGTTATATTCCTTGTGAAAATCAAGGGCATGGAATACTTATAATGTCTATATCTTTCTCACATTCTAGCTGACTCTGTATCATATTAATAATAATAATGTAAATACAAAATAGTCTACTATAACAATATCCAATATTAACAGATGTGTTCATAAATTTCTGCCCCCTCAGAAGTAAATCTAACACTGATATTTGGTTTTGAGTGTATTATTCATGTCACGTACCTTAATTAACTTTGATACCTTTTTCCAAGTTGAATGCTAATATTATGAAATTTTGTTGGTATAGGATGTGTTCTGTGAGAACTGAAAGATGACAGACACACAGGCCACATTAGAATTACCATTCTTGGTCTCAACCTCATTATGATTTAGGAGACACACTAGGAGTCAAAAGCAAATGTAGGAGGCAGAAGGATAAAAGGAAATCAAAGGAGCTGTGATTGGGATAGTATAAAGGGAAGTTGGGACAAAAATATCTGGAAGTCAGAGAGATTTTAAGAAGCAGTAGAGATTCTCCCGCTAACCTTGCAGAAGCAAACATGTTGTGAACCACCTAGAGAGGGGTCATGTGGTAGGACCTAAGGGCCTCCAGCAGCTGAAAGAACTCCCCAGGAAACATCAAACAAGAAAGCAAAGATGTCAGTCTTATGTCCAAAAGGAAGTGAATTTTGCTCACAACCAGTGAGCTTGTAAGAGGACCAAGCCTTAGGCAAGATCACAACCCCAGCTGAAATCTTCATTTCAGTATGTGAGACCTTGATAGGAGATTGCAACTAAGCTGTGCTTGGACTCCTAAATGACAGAAACCATGAGATCAACTGTTTGCATTGTGTTAAGCCACTGACGTTGTGGTAATTTGTTAAACAGCAATAGAAAATGAATTCATCATGCTTTAAAAGCAAAAAAACACTGCTCTTACATGTGTCTACTTAGTAAATCTCATCTACATTCTACATCAAACATTTGTTTTCAAACAATGCATTCTCTCTTCTTTGTAATCTAACAAAAGACCCCATTTTCATGAAACCTGTGCACTTCAAATTTATTATAAAAGCATTTTATCTTTGAGCTTATATTTAATTCAAAATATATCTGAAAGAGAAAACTAAATCTACAAGGATATTTCCCTCACTTTTTGGAATAATATTTAAAAGTCTCACAGTCTTAGAAAACATCTATCATATTTCATGCTTAAATAAAAAAATAAACATCTAACATGTTTACTTCTTTTTCAGTATTATGTTAATCACTGAAACATACCACACTAAAATATGTCACAATGTGGGAGCTTGCTCGCTCACTGTGCTCATTTAACCCTACCGCGTATTTTCATACAACACGTAATACGTAGAGGAAAAAAAGAGACCAATTTCACAAACAACGTAAGTTATTTAAGATTATACAATAATAATTTCTCTGACATGATACTCTGTTTTCATAGCTAAATCTGTCATCTAGTAAAACTGAGGGAAAGAGTTTGGTGATACTGCCCATCAAACGGGTAGAGGGCAAAATAAGCTGCCATTTAGTATTTTCAGCATGCAACAATTAAAATTTTCCTTCTGTGCTTTTGTTACACAGGAAATTTGTGATTAAATACATTTATAAACACCCAGAATAGATGTTCTTATTGTCAGTTCATTTTATCTTTTTTTATACAAATCCAAATAAAGTTTGGTGTTTTAAAAAGAAATCTACTTTAAGTTAGCCTACCTTCCACACTCAAAGTCCCCATTTTAGACTCCAGGAAATCAAACAATGTGCTTGGTGCTGACGGCCTTGCATTTCCCAGTTCCTCTTCATCTTCTGATCTTATTCGCCCTCTGCCTTTTCCTTTACCTTAACAAGGAAAGCAAGAAATAGACCTTATACATGCAAAACCAAAAAGAGAATATATACTAAAATATAATCAGTAGACATCTTAAGTAGAACTTTATATATATTTCTTTTCATATTTTTCTGTATATTCTACATCTTTTATAATAAAAATGTTTTTAAATGATTATAGTAACTAGTACTTTTCATCCTCTATATGATCTACCTAGAAATTCGAATTTGTTCATGGAAATTATCTTTTAAGGAAAATAAATCACTTTTATAAAACTTTTTCTTAATCACTTACTTTTTAATAGGATTAGGAATTTTTTAAAAAATCACATAATACATTTGACAATACAATAATTTAAAAATAATACTAAATAAAAGTCACATTTCTGTTAATTTTTAAAAGTTTGTAGACTATTTAGTCACTTATACAAGTGGCATACTTCTGGAGATGATTAATAGAGGGAGTTACTTTATATTATATCTTCTGTATTACTCATGACCCTGTTAAATGAGGCATTAGACTACTTGTGTAAAGATAAAGACAATGAGACTAAAAGCAATCTACACAAGTCTCTGTGGTTGGAAAACTGGTACTCCCACCACTTACTATAATGGTAAATGAAGTTACAGCTATCACAGCAACATACAGTTCCCCGAAAAGCAAATAACACTGCCTGGCACATTACTTAATGAATTATACCTCTCAGAGGTGGACCTGTAACAGGCTTCTGTTTATTGCTGTTAAGAAGTACATTCAGTGCTGCTTCCAAGTTGTTGTCATTATCCATCAGAGCTTGCCTTGAAGCTTCTTTACTAAAACCCATTTCTGTTATGTGCTTCAGAGCCTTCTCGTCAACCTGTAAGAAATTAAGAGAAGAGCTATGCTGATAGCCAATAAACAAGCAAGGTCTAAGATTTTAACTAAAATTAGGTATACGATTAACTAAAATTTTAAACCAAAAACTACATCTGATGTTTACAGAGAAAATGTGATATTGATACATCATTCACTTGCTGTTTTTCACATCAACAGTCAAGGGCCTGTCTGTGATATGCAAAGTTGTGCCTTGAGTACTCTCTTGACTTCACAAGTACTATTACAAATGCAAAACAAACAAAAAATTAATTTTATGATATGTCAGATAAGGTTTTGCAAAATAATACAAGCAATGAAAACTACCTAATAAAAATTTTCATGGTTGATAACTTCTCCATCCTAAGGAAATGCAATTTATATAGCACCTCCCCAAAAATGCAAAGTATAAAAAGAAGCTAACAAAATGGTACCATCTCAGTAGCTTTGTTTTTCTCTACTCTCTATTGTTTCAGTATTCTGCTCTATATTTATCAGCAATACTACCTATGATCCTTTGATAGCCTGTACCCCAATAGAAAAACCTACTTTCAAACGTCAGAACTCCAAATCTTGAAAAATCTACACTGAGTAGAATTAAAGAACTGTTTAAGTAACATAAACTTAACCCTGTGAAGAAATCTACTGAATTATAACCACCTGAGGAATACATAACTAACTTGTACACTAGGAGTTAGGATGAAAAGGCTTTAAGATAGCACACACATTGCATGCACGTTGTAGACAGCCACTCTGATACCTACAAAGACACTGGTAAATGCACAGCACTTTTTGAAAAACCCTAATTGTATCCTTCCAAACATAAAATCCTTTCTAAATACAGTGGCAACTGTCAATAGATCAGAGTTGACACAAAAGAGGATATTTATATCCCTGCTGTAGATACGCTGAAGTAAATGTAAAAAGGATTGGACATTAAAACCGTAATTCACCCTTCTTATCTGAATGTAAAAAAATAATCAAACTTCCAAAGACTTTCCCTCTCCCAATTATTTCCCAAGTAAACATCTAATTAAGAATGTTTTCCTACATATAGAACTTTACCAAAAACACTTTTAATAACCAATTACTATCCAACGTTGGTATAGCTTATTCTACCTTTCTTGTTAACCTGACTTGTTAACCAAACTCTCATTGAAGGTGTTGGCAGGGCCATGCTCTTTCTGAGAGTTCTAGGGGAAAACCGTCCTCGCCTCTCTTAGCTTCTGTTGTTTGCTGGTAATTCCTTGGCTTATAGGTGCATCACTCCAGCTGTGCAGCTACCTTCTCACTGGGTATCTTCAGGTCAACTTCTTTCTGTTTATGTCTGTCTCCGTGTCTAAATTTCCCCTCTTTATAAGGAGATTGAATTGGGTCATACTGAATTGGGGCCCACCCTAATGACCTCTTTTTAACTTGATACCTCTGTAAAGATCCTATTTCCAAATAGAGTCACATTTTAAGGTACTAGTGGTGAAGACTTCAACATATCTTGGGGGAGGGAGGGGTGGTGGATGGGGCAAAATTCAACCTAGAATACCATCTATTATCAAAAATAATTTTAAGGACCTATCACTGACATCCCAATCAAGTATTCCTTCAATTGTTGAAAATAAAGAACTGAAAACCATGCAACATGCAAAAGAACCAGAGACCTGGTCATCAGAATAATTCATGTACATTCAAACTTACACTAGTATTTCAAATTGTCCTTTTAACAGTCTCCTTCATTCTTAAATGATAGTTTTTCTGAATATGGAATTATTGGTTAAGTTTTTTTCTTTCAGTACTTTCAGTATATCACCCCACTGCTTTCTTGCCCCCATCGTTTCTAGTGAAAAATTGGCTGTTTGTTTATTGAGGATCCCTTATATTTGATGACTTGCTTCTCTCTTACTGCTTTCAAGATTTCCTCTCTGTCTTCAGCCTTCAACAACTGGATTATAGTGTGTCTTGGAGTGTTTCTCTTTCAGTTTCTCCTACTGGAGTTAATTGAGCTTTCTTAAATGTGTATACTCATGATTTCATCAAATTTGGGAACTGGGGGCATTAGTTCTTCCAATACTTTTTCTGTCACTTTTTCTTCTTTGTTGGGACTCCCATCAAGTATATGTTGGTGTATTTGACGGTATATTTCAAAGGTCCCTCAGGCTCTGTTTTTCTTCATTCTTTTCTCTTTCTGCATCTTAGGCTGGGTAATCACAGTTGCCCTATATTAAAGTTCATTGATTCTTCTGCCCAATCTAGTCTGATGTTTAACCTGACTAATGAAATTTTTTATCTTAGTTATTGCTCTTTTCACATCCAGAAATTCTATGTTGTTTCTTTTTTTTATAATTTCTATCTCTATATAGATATTCCCTACTTGTTCATATATTGTTTTGATTTTTTTTAGCTTTTTGTCAATGGCTCTCTTCAGACGTCCGATCATTTCTAAGATGCAAGGTCTTTGTTTAGTAAGTCCTACGCCTGGGCTTCTTCAGGGATGGTTTCTGCCAATTTCTTTTTTCTCCTATGAATGAGTCACACTTTATTATTTTTTGATATGTTTTGTAACTTTCTATTGAGAACTGAAATTTTTGAATACTATAATGGTGATAATTTTGGAAATCAGATTCTCCTTCCTCCTCAGGAACTGCTGTTGTTACTTGCTAAAGACTGCAGTTATAAATCTGTTTAGTAACTTTTTTCAAAATTTCTTTGTAAGAATTATACTCCTTGTGATATGTGATCACTGGAGTCTTTGTTCCATTGTCTCCACGGTCAGCCAGTGAGTGATCAGCCTCTTTCTTCATCCATCATTACTCTGTATGCTGCAAGAGTCTAACTTGGCTCAAAGGGTTCTAAAATAGTTGTTTCAGCAATGTTGTTTTAGCTTCATAGTTGTTTTGGTGGATGGGCAAATTCTGGAGCTTTCTATTCTGCCATCTTTGTGACACCACTCTCTTCATAT